TAACCGCGTGTTTGGTCAAAGAAAGGTTTTCTCCAGATGAATAAAGCTTTTGCTCACAAAGTAGCAAAAGTAACAGCGCCCGCCTAAAGTATGCCCATGATATTCTAAGAACGAAAAAAAAAAACGCCATTATCAGGCTATCATCATCAGTTCCCGTTCATTATCTTAAGAACGGTTGCACACATTCAACTCAAATTTGACATATAGATATGTCATGAGAAAATACAGGTCAAGTTCGAATTTGGTCATGGTTCGATGATTTTGGCAGAGTTATGCCCTTTTACTTGAAAATAATATGAAATTTCAGTTTCCGTTCATTATCTCCCCAACGGTACAATACATTCAACTCAAACTTGACATATGGATATGTCATGAGCAAATACAGGTCAAGTTTGAATTTAGTCATGGTTTGGTGATTTTGGCAGAGTTATGCCCCTTTTACTTTGAAAATAATATGAAATTTTCAGTTTCCGTTCATTATCTCCCCAACGGTACAACACATTCGAATTAAACTTGATATATGGATATGTCATGAGAAAATACAGGTCAAGTTCGAATTTGGTTATGGTTCGATGACTTTTGGCTTTACTTTGGCTTTACTTTGAAAATAATATGAAATTTTCAGTTTCCGTTCATTATCTCCCAAATGGTACAACACATTCAACTCAAATTTGACATATTGATATGTTTTTAGAATGCCCAGGCCAAGTTCGAATTTGGTCATGGTTCAATGATTTTTGGCAGAGTAATGCCCCTTTCACTTTAAGAATAATATGAAATTTACATTTTCTGTTCATTATCTACCCAACAGTGTTACATATTCAATTCAAATTTGACATATGGATATGTCAAAGGAATGGGCAGGTCAAGTTGGAATTTGGTCATGGTTTGATGATTCTAGACAAACTTATCTTTCCTGAATGTTGGAAAAATTTTGAACTTTCAGTTTCAGCACACCTACTGTTAGCCATTATTTTGGCTAAAAATATGCAATATGCTATTTTTATAAGGTTAAGACTGAATAATTTCAGTGCCTTGAACATTGTATGAAAATGGTTTGTGTTAACATTGAAAAGTTTTAAGGGCTTTGAACTTAAAATGAAAAAAATAATTAATGCACCATCTGAAATTTTGGCTGCATGCGGGGACATCCGTGGCATGATGACACATTTCTAGTTTATTCTAACTTAAAGTTTAGCAATTAAAATGAATTCGTACATTGCACTATTGAGACCGCCTCTGTGGTCGAGGGGTAAGAGTCGATGACTTTTAATCCAGTTACCGCTCTGGCGTGCGTTCGATCCCCGGGTGATGCTTTGGTAGTTTAGTACGGAGGAAGGTAGAATCAGTTTCCCGAATGAATACTATCACTGAATGTGATAAATACCCCGCAAATTTATTTCAAATCAAGAACAACAGGGGCAACAGTTGAAATGTTCTTATTATTTGAATATAAACACACTGATAGAGTCTATTATAAATGAAAGTTTGTCAATGGTCAAGGCCATTTTGTGAATAACCAAAATGTGAAAGTTTGGTCCCGTCCAATAATAAACCATTGAATATCAAAAACTGTAGAAATTGTTAAGTATAAAGATGCCAGAAAGATCATTTAAGTTTAAAATTATATTCATTTTAGATAGCATGATGATCAAGTCTAACATGTTATTATATATAATAATGTTAAATTTTAAAGAAATCAAGTAGAATTTCATAATTTTCTTTGAGAGTCAAGGACAATTATAGGTCAATGTATTACTGTAGTAATGTCACTTGAAGATTTTGACAAAAGGTTGGTATGTCATAATATAAATCAGACTGGTTCATTAATTACAAACAGATTTGTCCATTATTATGACTTTAAATGTGAATGTTAATTAAACGATCAAGATAGTTTTAAATAGTTGCACTTGATGATTTTTTCCTTAAATGTAGTTTATTCAGATTTAAATCAAAACAAATCTATTATCAACACAATTATAACAATTTCAGCAAATTTCAATATTTTTGCAAGTACTGCATAGGGGTGTTTAAAAGCCAATGTCATACCCGAATTGATAAACATGATAAGTGTTTGTTATTTTATTTGTCAAAGTATCAATTGACTCATTCAATAAAATGGAACAATGGCTTATTTATAAAGAAAAATATAAATGCAACCGCAGCGGAGTTCTAGGTAAAGTTTAGTTTGACCAAAAAATGTATATAGAATATCTAATCAATTAATAACAAATATAGCCAACTTAAGAAGTATTAAAAAATAAATTGACATTCTTGGTCGTCATGATCAGACTTAAGTTACATTACAGTCTTATGCTAAGTGTTATTTTTAGAATCAATCAAATCCATCCATTGATTTCAAGAGTATTTTCAATTTTAGCAACCTCATCAATTGGTGCTTAAAGTTAAAAGTCATTAAAAGGTTAAGCTCTCAGCATTTCAGGCCATTTATGCACAGTTTTTAAGGATAAATCAAACCAATCCATACACAACACACTGATGTCAAATATTATGGCAAATTATATTATTGGATCCTTAAGGTCAATGTCCTGTTAAATCAAGGTCAAATGAAAATTAACTTCTTAGATGGATTGTTGAAAGGGTTGTTATGTCCAAGCATGAATACACTATATCAATTTATAACAAATTTAAAGCCGACTATAGTCTATTGAAGCACACTTTAATTACTTTAAAGGTCAATGTCACTTATGGATCAATGCTAAATTGCGAAAATATGCACAAGTAGACACCATGCGCCAGTATAGTTTAACGGTATAGTTTATTGGTATTGCCTAAAGATTCACCAACAAACGGTGCACGTAAAACAAAGGGGAACAACTCTTTCACAATAATGTTCTGTATATGTCCGTTCCATTCCGTACGCTGACAAACCGTACCTGACTACACTATGGCGCTAAGGGGAACAACTTTTTCACAATAATGTTCTGTATATGTCCGTACCATTCCGTACGCTGACAAACCGTACCTGACTACACTATGGCGATGTCAAATATTATTCTCAATGCTGTTTTACAATTGATTGAGCTGTTTATAAGGAGAAGCCCACAAAGACCGCCAGACTAACAGACTTATGTTGCCAAATATCTGGACTAAAATTTATCTTTTATATTTAAAATGTGTTTGATAAAAAGATTAGATGGAAAGGTTACAATATACCATTAAATCATATTTTATCACTTAATTTGAACTTCTGATACCATTATATACGAGTATATTTTGATCATCTATCATAGTTTTATTCATAAATCAAAAGGTGTTAAGAAGGCCAGGTTGTATTACAATGGAGTACCTTCATCCAAAGGATAGTTTTATTTGAAAGAAGAACTTCACATTCTTATGTTTTCGTATAGTAACATTTTCTGAAACTATATCAACAATTATTGCTAGTTTATGTTAAAGACCTAACAGTAATTTGGTTGTCCTAGTATTTTAAACTCATCTTCCTATATGAATCATTTCCATTTTGAGCTTGGAATTTAAATTTAAAGTTATTTAATCTTATTAACTTTTGTTACTGATGGTCTCTAGTTGTCATCACTCACATATAATGATGTATAAGAGACAATATAGTCATGCCCATACACCTTGCATCTTTATTGTATGAGTTGTCTTCTTTTGAACTTACCATATTGCTTTAAACACGTAATTTTGTTTTATTGCGATATTTCATCTAATAATTGTTGACAAGAAAGAAATTTCTGTTTTTATTTCATGTTTTACTTTCATCGACATGCATGAAAGGTGTTGCGAAAAAGTCAAAGAATTAATGTTTTTATGAAATTCAAGGGATACAAGTTTACAATTTTAAGAGGCAGTCAAATTTTAATATTAGATTACTTGTCTTAATTTTCCCGAAGTACCGGAAAATATATTTTCTCTGAAGCATCAAACGAGGAACATTTTACAGCTGTTTTACGATACTTGACGCCGGTTTTTTTCTGAATGATAAAAAAGGAAAACATATTTCTTGAAAATTAGAGACTCGGTTTGAATAAGTATGCTCATAAAATAAAGTAAATATACAACATCTCTTTCTTCTATAACACTTGCTAAGCGTTTAACTTTGTTAAGCACCAAGTTACATTAAATAAATATGTAAAAATATTTTGCCGTCGGCCTAAAAATCAAACATTCTACAGTTTCGTTAACCTGTCTAATAGTTTTGTTGTTAATCCTATCAATATTGTTCATAAATTAGGATTTTAAACGGGAAACCCCACGGTAACACTAAAGTTCGTATACGAATTTTAACATGCAAATGAAGACTATAATGAGCTCGTGTATGCGCTACGTCACAGTTTTATAGTTGCTATCCGGAACACAGCAAATGTGATATTTTCTTGTGCAAACACAATTTAACCGTTTAAGCTTCACGGTGCACTAAACCTGGGGTTCAGTAAAAGTAATCATCTCGTTAAAAGATTAAATTTGTATGAAAACATCCGTTACAATACGGAAATATATCGTTAAATTAGTACTGCCACTTATAGACATGTTTGTTGATTTAATACTGATGTACGGATGATCCGAAGGCGGAGTTTCTTATGCAAACAGAAATTGTACATCCCATTGTGCCACAATGAGGTTACCTATGTTTATGCTAATAAAACTCATTTTGGTTGTTTGGACACTAAAATAAGACCTGGTGTCGGTATAAAACCCAATTTATTAATGAAATGTCGCTATTTATTTTTTTATGAAATTTATTAAATGTAACTTTAAGCTACAAACGTACTGCAATCTTTTTCTCTATTATATTAAAAACCTTACATAACTTTTGCTACATGTTCAAGTATAACAACACTTGTTATACCAAGAACTTCGTCATTTCAGATCAAATTCGGGTGTTATCAAAATGTGTTCCATTTGGATTGTATTTTTGCAAGTGATAAATGCATTTAATGAAGATAAGTTTGTACATATATTTAAAAGTTTTTGTTGTTATCATTATTGAAAATATTAATGATTGTTCTATCTTCAGAGACAATCACATATCATCCTGATCAGACAAATGCGAATTTAAACAAATGAGATGGAACCATCGGTAATATTTATCATAATTTTTGTATTTACATTCCTTTATAGATTACGCATAATATATAGTTTCAAGGAAAGTCATCGTATTTTCAAGTCAAAAGCAAGCATACAAGATGAACGAAATGAAATATCAAACCTAATTTTGAAATTCATTCACAGGAAAGCAAACCTCTAAAACTATTCTCATTACTGTTACAGAAGAACTGTGATGTCACTAGAGGACATGAACTCTACCTTTGTCATATATTATTACTGGAACAAACTTCACCCATCGCATTGAAGGCCATATTTAAAAGAGAAGAGAAAAAATGTGAAAACCATATTGGTATTTTGTTAAATGAGAATAGAGATGCGTTAACAACCCAGTGCGAAACAGAGTTTCTTCAATTAATTCAAGAAGATGCTGTCAATGACGACATTGATACGTGGGACATACTTCAATTATGTGCTGTGACATTAGTTTTGTTTAAATCTGATCTAACTGAACCTGAAGTTAAAGCCATTCAATGTATATATGATCAGAGGAAAGATATTAAACAATACACCGAATGTGCCTCCCTAACATTCAATACCTACAACGAGAAACAACATTTATTGCACGATCAATTACTCGATTTGATAACGCTCATAGACGACCAAGCTCAGCTTGATTGTAAACGTATGATGTTTTCATTTGAATCAAAATCAATGAAATTAAGCGAAGCACAGATAGAAAAACTAACACAGACAAATGATATCAAAACTCATCTTAAAATTGCAATTGATGCACATGTCGTAACAGAGAATGATATCATTGGCGAAGAGAACGATCCAAAGCTCCAGACCAATGGTAATTATTTGTGTTACAGTATGAATTTGAATATCATATGGTTGTCTTGTATCCAAATACATTACTTTTTGATTATGTTTGTATGCAAATAGTGTTAATATTTGGCTATAGCTATATAATTGTTTTAGATAGCCAGCAGCGAAATTCAATATAAAAGTGAGTGAGCATTCATGTGTGTATATTCTAAATTTGTATTCAACATAAGTGAAACTGATATAATACATGGTCAAACAAATGAAATATAATACATTATATGTTATATGCAAAGTATATCATAAAATATGAGATCGTGTTCATTTGATAATGACAAGAGCTATTTAACGCATCGGGAAACAGTATTATACGATGGATGATATTTTTACTTTTCCTCACAAAGCCATTTGTTATTTATTATTTTACCCCAAACGAATACTGTAATAATCAGAAAAGTTCAACTAAATCTAACTGTAACAAAATTGAACCAAGAGTAACAATAACTCAACTGCTGTAAGATGACTTGAAAACTTTGTTGTTTTTTTCTTATATTCTTTATGGGAATGATGAATTAGGATATCTACCAGTCATAAACAGACAATAAGCTGTGTCTCATTTCCATTTCGATGGCATTTTACAATTGTCTACCACAATTGTCTTGTTTTGCTGATTAAGTTCGTGAATTAATCCTTTTTGCATGCTTTAATCGTGTGCTGGTTCCATTTTGACACAAAGTAAATCCAATGCAATAACTTCCTAAGAAAACTAATTTTCATTTCTTACTATTCAATTGTTTAACCAAAAGACAATTAAGACGCAAAATACTTTCAAGTTGTAAACAACAATTTTTTTTGTTTTTTTCAATAGTCTATCTGGTAATGGACCTTTGTGGTGAAAATCGAAAATTAAGAGGTTGAATTGAGAAAAACGAATGACTGCCATTTTTGTTTTAGGAAATAAACCACGTAACCAGATTTTATACTCTTAAAAAGTACTATTACCTATATAACAGAACAAATTTCTTATTTACGTAGTACACTTTCATTGACTTATAAAATACTCCCAGTGACCTATAGGAAATTACCATTTTCAAAAAAGTGAAGGGAAATAATAACTTGATATACATTTTGTAGCTGAATTATAATCTCATAAACAAAATACAATATATTTCAGGCCAAATGTTCACTGAAGAACTTCAGAACAAAAATGTCTACATCAATGATTCAGCTATTTTGACATGTAAACTCAACCTTCCAACAGATGAAAATGTTGAGTGGAGGAAAGATTTCAAGCCGGTTGAAAATTCAAACAATTTAATGGTAATGAGCAAGAATGGCAATCATTGGTTAGCGATTTCCCGTGCATCATTAGAAGATACAGGTCAATATACGTGTGTATGTGGCCATATTTCAACTACAGCTGATCTTACTGTTATAGGTATGCTTTAATCGAATTATAACAACAATACGTGTGTTCTTTTTCAATTCTTAGAAACAGATAAAGAAATAACCATAGTTTACCATGGCATTATTCATAACTTTCAATCTAGTAAGCAAACCTAGTATATGAATATTATAACCAGAGCACGAAGATTTTAGATTAGGCTTAAACTTAAGTTTGAATGTCTATCAACTTTATAATTTGTAATTAAACAGTAAATTTGATTAGAAATAATCAAAATGACAATAGATTAGTATGATAGCAACATGGGCGAATATTAGTAACAGTCTATTCCATAACCAAATAATAGTTGTTACTTTGGTTACAAGGACTAGGGGCTTAAATATTTGTACATTCACAGAAGAGATCATGTAAGGAAAATAATGTTATGACAACATTATTTTGGATTTCTTTGAGTACATCAATGGTAGACAAAACTATAAATCATTTTAATGTACGATTTATTATTCAATACTAATATGAATGTAATTTTTTCATACATAATCGCAATATTAGATTTAATATCGAATTACAAAATTAAGTATGATTCGTTCCTTTATCATTATCACATCCTTCTGTAACAGATGAAGCATTAAGTGTGGTCGTTCATTGCCCAGTCAAGATTGAGGTTATTGAAAATGGAAACATTGAAATAGAGTGTAAGGTGAACCTGCTAACGAGTAAACCTGTTTGGCGACACAAAGGTGAACTTCTTCAATCATCTGGTAGAAAGGTTATACAAGCAAAGGGTTCTACACACAAATTGATGATCACGAATGTAACATTATACGACGAGGGTGAATATACAGTTGATTTTGGGAATGTCTCATCTAAAACAACAGTTCAAATACAAGGTAAACATATATGAATGTTATCTTTGTTTTTGTAATACCGACACTATTTATATAGTTGGTTTTAATCTCTTTCAGGTCCTTAAAAGTTGTTAATTTTATTTAATTTGTTTGGGACATAGCTGGTAAATCTAAATAGCAAACAATGCACTTAAGTTTATACCGATTTGCCAGATACCAGAAAATCATTGGTGCAATTTTCTTCAATTTATTTCAGTTGAAACGGACCTTATACACAGAAAACAGATAACACAAGAATTGTACAGAAATTGGTTGAGAGGAGCTCTAGCGTTAAAATATTTAAAAATAGGTTTAGAGGGTTTTTCCGACAAGGCTGTTCACAAACAACATAATGATCTAATGAAAAAACTTGGAAACTACTGCAACACTTGTACAGAGGAAAGTCTTCTCCCACATAAGCAAGATCAATGCCCACGACAAAGAAAACATCAATGTTTATGTACCAAAGTTCAGAAACTGAATTCAAGACAAATGTGTCCAAACGGGGGATTTTGTGGCAACGTTTATAATCAAATAGTTTATAAACATCGTTTTCAAGATCCATTATTCACAAATACAGATATCCAAAAATGGAGCAGTGATGCGTGGAGTGTTGCTACATGCTTTGTTAATACTACTGGCTACAAATGCAAGCGATCAGCTAAAGAGGTCGACTGCTCCGGTTTACTTAGTATGTGTATAAACAACATTGATATAGAAATAATGCTTGGAGAAGTTATCATCGATGGGAAAATAGATGCATTTGCAAAGGTACACATCTTCACCACAGTAATCACTTATTGTTGTATGTAATTTCAATTGAACGTTGTATATAAATGTATATATTTAGCATTTATTATGCAAGTTTGGAACAGTCTTTTCGAATTGGTTTTATAATTGATTAAAGTGGCATTATGCTTATCAAGGGTAAACAGGTGAAAGTTAAAAAAAAGTTTTTATGTAGCCATAATTCCCTTATATTTAATAATTTGCTTCATATATACAACAAATAACCCCCGGATTGAAACAGAATTTATGTACATATCAGTTAGAATTTACATGAAACGTTTAGTTTATAAAAAAGAGTGGGGCAGTCTTTTTATATTTTAGGCAGGTTTCAAATTTAAATCCTAAACATTTTCCAAAATAAACTGTTGGTCAAACACCATTTTAACAGTCAATCTTTGAAATAAAAAGTCAATTCAGCTAAACTTGACTATGAAAATATCAGCATAATGTATAAGTGAAGTTTTTTAGCAATAAATTAAAATGATACTTTAGATACTGAAGTGTTACTTTTACAGGCAAGGGAAGCGAGGAATAATATTCTTCACAGTCCAAACTATGAACTATCTGAAAATGAACTAAACAAGTTTATCAGAATGTTCAAAGAAGTACTAGAAATCAAGGACAAACATGGTAATACACCTTTGAAAGGGGAGCCAGGCGTAGAAGGAGCATTACGTTTACTAGATATGGTAATAATCCTATTGGAATTATATAGTTTAACGTTTAAGGAAGTACTAGAAATCGAAGACAAACATGGCAATACACCCATGAAAGGGAAACCCGGTGTTGCACACGCATTACCTTTACTAGATATGGTAATTAACCTATAACAGTAATGTAGTAATAATAAAGACAATATAAGCCGATTTGGGATACATTTTATTCGTTTTTATTAGAATTTGTGTGGATTAAAGCGTATTTCTCTCTAAATTAAGAATATGTTAATCACATTGGTACTCGTATTTGTTGCATATTATTCTTTAGAAAATTCTGTATGCTTGCTACTTGTTATTTTGTAACAGATGTTTGATATAAAATAGTACGTTCAGGTCTTTTTGCATAAGTGTTAAAGCATTTTATTGTATTCAGTAATTACATTATTGACTATAATAGTAAATACATTATCTTTGTCTGCTCTAACATTATAATGAATCACTTTGCAAACGTGAGCTCGTTACTGTTTGACTTTTCACACATATACACAGACAATTATTTGGATATTAAAAAGATTGCAACAATACAGGATAAAAAATGATCAATAAAGCTTATTACATGTAAAGAGTTCGACAGTTTCTTGTAAAACAAGATTGCATGTGTGAAAAATGCTATGTCACCGTATAAATATACCACTTGATAATAGTGCATGAACAGAAGACTTCTTCTGTTTCCATGTTTTGATATCAAAGTTTAATTTTACACCTAAAACTGTCCACATGATCCAAATTTCATACTTGTAATCAAAGGACAAAAACAATTTAACCTGTCAAAATTTAGGTCAGCTGCATGCAATATATTAAAATTCAATTTAACATCTCAAAGTGTGCACATGGTCCAAATTTTATGGCTGTACATCAAAGGACAAAAAAGAAGGACGCCGTCTCCTTGGGCAAGGGAAGACACAAATGTTAAATTGTCCGCGTCTTTTGAAGAAAAAAGGGGGATATAGAAATAGGCTTCGTCCGTCCATCAGTCCGTCCGTCACATTTTCGTGTCCAGTCCATTACTATGTCATTTATCAAAGGAATTTCAAATTACTTGTCACAATTGTTTGTTATGATAAGACAATGTGTCATGCACAACAACCGGGCCCCTTCCTCCAAGGTCAAGGTCACACTTGTAGATTAAAGGCCAACGTTGTATTTTCGAGGGTATATGTCGTGCTCTGTCAATTTCTTTCTTATCAATGAAGGGATTTTGAAAGTTTTTGGCACAAATGATAACAATAATGAGACAATGTGTCATGCGCTAAAACCAGTCGCCTACGCATACCCCAAGGTCAATGTCACAGTTGGAGGTCAAATATTAACATAGTCTGTTACAGGGTATATTTTGTGTCCGGTCCAGAACTTCTTTATATATCAAGGGAATTTGAAATTATTATGGCACAAATGTTCACAATAATAAAACAATGTGTAATGTATGAACAAGAATTTTTGTAACATAATTACCAACGTCCCCGCCAAAGGGAATTTTACATAAAAGACAAAATTTGAAATAGCACAATTTTGTGTTTTATGTAAAATTCCCTTTGGCGGGGTCGTTGTTAACACACACGCACACACACGCGCACGCGCACACAGAGGTGAATCGCTATATTCCAAAGCCATGTAGATACTGCAGCGGCAATAAATTTAAACTAGATAAATCTTAAGTTCATTTGTACCTATCCATGTATTACTTCATTTGCTTTCAAGTGGGGGAGGATCCCTTCCATTCTTATAAAACAATGTGCCAAATGTGTTTTCAATTTTTTTTGTATTGACATGAAAATTGTTCAAATGAGTTTACAGACCGGAATCCAATCATAATTTATTTTACAGGTGCAACAAAATCAAATTGAGATGAACCTTGAATGTGACGTGAGAGAATTGAGAGAGCATGGAATGTTTAGATTAGAAGAGAAATACAAGACAGCAGAAAAACAGGCAAGTTTTATATTTATAGCTAATGCATTTGAATTTTGTTGTAACATGATTTTACCGCGTACGGCCTATAAAGTAAGGGAATATTGATTTTTAAGTCTCATGAAATTTATAATTGTTTCAAATGTCTTTGAAAAATACTGCGATTCTTAAGTTGCTACTCTATTTATTGTATACGTATGATTACCGAGAAAATCATGTTAAAACTTGTGCATTTAACCTGTCATTTTTACATGTCTCTCTGTTAAAAATCATGCACGCTTGAATATAAAGCCTCGTTTAGATTATTTGTAGCTTAAAGAATCACTGAGGCGTACAATACATTCGTGAGTATTGGAAAAGATACAATTTTTAATGACATAAAAGTGTTATGATGTAAATGTACTTTGTGGTCATTAACTGTTCTTATCTTCTGACTTCTATCTAAGGTAACCAAAGGAAGTTTTTAGACTAGGTGGTATCCGAACATTATCAGTGTTGCGTAAGTATTATATTAGGCCTAAGAGAATGAATATTTCCAAAATAAATATAATTACAATTTAGTTCTTTCTTCGTCGTGTTGATACACGATTAGTGCATGGTTCGAAATATATATATAATGCAACATTTTAACCTTTTTTTCTTCAGCGTGAACTGAAACTTCAACTTATAGAGCAACAAATAAAAGGTTTGTCCTTGACTATTAATTTGAACAAATAAGAGCTTACCCTTATGCAAAAAGTCTTCCAGGTCATTAGACCATGTTTCGAATCTAAAAGTACGTGCTTTCGAGAAACATGCATAGTTCAAAAATCCTGTGTCCGTTTGAAAAGAATGACAATTTTTCTTTTAAATTCAACGAATTCATAAATTGGTTCTTTTTAATGATAGAACGGTTGGATTCGACAAAAGTAACATTATGCATAATTGACAAAAGGTTTTAAACATATGTTATACTGATATACTCGTACAAAATGTATAAATAGCTACAAAGAGAAAGAAGAATTAAAAAAAGAAGCTACTTTTGAAATGAAAATGTTGTTTGAATAGACATTTATCAGGAAATAGGTGTTTGAGGATTTCACACTATAATAAATTTATATAAATGAGATCATGCAAGAAATATTTTCTTTAAAAAACGTCTTTATTTCTATAAAGATACACAATGAAAAGAACATCAAATTTTTAAGAAAAATAATATTGCTTGTAATAGAATAATCAAGAAATAACTATCTTTTATAACTATAACTTTGTCTTTTAAGTGGCTTGTAACTATAAACAGAAACAGTGTTGTTGTTCTTGTTTTAAAGTTAAAACACACAGGTGTTGGTCTGTTGAAATTATCTTGCAAAATATCTGGTCTAAAGATGTATTCTATCCATTTATATACACGCCGAATTAGTTAAAAATAGGATATGCATATACTCTGTTTAACATTATTGAATATTATTTACATAAATTTCCATTATTGCTCGAGTTGTGTTTTTATTTACAGATAAAGAAAATGAGCTTCAGCTTATGCTAAATCTTAGATCTGCGGGAAAACAAAAGAATCTTAAAGGTACTTAATGAAAAATAAATACTTAAAAACCTTTGACTTCACCGCTCTTATTTGGTAAGAATTAAAGATTTGTTAACAGTGAAAAGAAGACAAAACGAAAACAGATTAAGAACATAAGGTTATTTGATATATTCCTTTCTAAAACGGGTTGAACTAGCTATATTTGAAATATATCAAAATTCATAGTCAAAGAACCATTTCCTTGTTGTTCTTGCATAAAAACTGCGCACGTAGGTGCATATTAACGTAGACGGAAACATGCTTTTACAGATACAATTACGCAAGCATGCACGTTTTTAATATGCATGACTCAGGGCGATATGTATAACGGATATAAACGGCAAGTCATGACGACACCTGTTACAGTTATATGGAAAAATAACGAAACGCAAATGTAACTTTTTGAAGAATAGCGATACTACAGAATGTGTGCCTGCATTATATCTGCATATTTTGATCCATGTTAATACGTGTATAATTCTTTATTATGTTTTTTTTTTCAGAGCACTTCTTGCTTGATCTACAGATAAATGTTATTGCTAAAAATGGTGAAAAAAGTGCTGAAGGGAATCAACGAGTATATGAAGTAATGAGAGACTATATTAAAGATAACGATGATATGACTGGTTCGTCTTTTGTTGAAAGATCAACTGATACACCAGTCTATCACCTCGTAGATTTCATCAAGGCCATAAAGAAATGCAGTATCGTTGATATTTCTCCCTCTGACCAATCGTCAACAGACATAGAAATCAACTTCTACAGTTCGAGCGTCATGGAAGATTTTCTCAAGTCTATCATCAGTAACGAATTTCAACAAAAACTGTTTGACCTTAGACGATGGCTACAAGTGCAATATGACATTGAATCGTATGACATAATGGCTAATTGCTCATCAAATGGCATAGAGAAAGCAAAACAACGTTTGCGTGAGTTAAATATGAATAATAATGATTTATGATACCTTTTATATTTAACAGTGTTTTCTGCTCCTGTCGGTGCATTTGTAATCAGTGCATATTAATAGTATTAATTGATTTATCAAAATTAATTAAAAAATTGTTAGCTCTATATTGTTAAGATATCTAAGGATTATTGAAAAACGTAATACGTTGATACAAAAACATGTACATATATTTGAAAACGTAAAACTACTGTCTTCAGACTTTACTGAAGTAACCAGATCTTTGACTTGTGCCGAACATCAAAATACACATTGTACTCTCTATTGTCCTGACCATGACACGTTTTTATGTACAGCATGCAGAGAATCAAAACATGGGTAATTATACATTTATTACAATCAGTAATTTATAGTGGTTAATATAGAACAAAAAGTATCAAATTAAACAAACGAATTTAAAAATCGTGCAACACTGACCGATAACTTATCTGTCGGAAACATTTAAGTTTGATTATTTCTTAAAAAATTTGTAAACAAATTAGAAGAATTTATAGTTTGACCTGACACTTTAATTGTATCCCTAATTCTAGCATATTGAAATAATTTAATTTTATTTGGTAAGTAAAACGAATGAAATATAGTTAAGTCATCTCCTTTGTAAAATATTCGAGTGTTGGCAGAATAATAAGTCTTTTCGTTATAGCGGTTTGGTCTACACTGAGATACAGTGGGCGATTAAATATTTTCTTTTGGTTTTGACCCCAGTTGTTGCTTTGACGTTTGTAGCATCCGAGGTTAGCCAAAATTATCCCTTTCTGTTTCCGGAGTTATATGACCTAAACTGGGTTGACCAGTACGCCGTAAAACCAAACAAACAAACAAAGCTAACAAAATATTTTATATCGGCAAATTCCAGCATTGCTAATAGTTCTTTGTATTTACTTAACAGTGAACTTTTAATTAGAATAATACCTTAATTCCTGAAAATGTGCAAGGTATTTATTAAAGGGATTACGCGCTGGTTTGTCTTTTATTATGTGATATTCTGACATGCTTATTCTTTACAATTTACCAACAATTTTATTTTAAGCTTGTAATTGCTGTTTTCACATTTTTATAGATGTTTTTATTCTTGAAACTGATCTTATTCATTTTATTTTGAAAACATGCAAACTATGCATGATTATTATTAAAATTTATTATCTTATTAGTAATCAAAATTAGCTCTTTAAAATCATGCGATGCACCTATGATTCAAACATCATATCAATAGCCTTCTGTGTAATTTAGTTACTAATACATTTTATTTTTTGTGTTTGCTCTGTAATTGGCCCTTCATTTATAGGGCAGATAATTTGTACAACTTATGAAAGTAACAACCATTTTTATGAACATGAGGAATATTTGCACTTCGATTTTGAACAACATCTTTCTTAGAGGTAAATACTTAATTCCCATGCTCGCCAATGTGCGATAATGGCCCGACGATGTTCATAATGACACGAGGACCGCAGAACCTCGGTGTTCAATATCACCACTCGGCGGGCAGGTAAAAAGTATTAACGTTTTTAAAACCTACGGAATACCGTTGATGTAGTCGTGGTCAGCAGATTTAATGTACTGTACGTCATTCGAAAAAATAATGACCAGCTAAACGTATTGCACTATCGTATTATCGCCATCACATTATCGCATTGTCGCATTATCGGACCGTCGTATAACCACGTAGACCTTACGGTTTTCCATAAATACATACATTTCAATATCGCCGCTTGTCTTGGTTGTCGCAATTTCTAAGAAACGTAAAGGTTGTCAATTTATACAAATATGTCTGTCATTCAGTTAACAAACTAGCAATTGATAGAAGGAAGGGGCAGACCTTTTGCACATATGCTTATAAATTAACACGAAACTTACAGAATTATCGGTACAAATAATGTGTTCATACATTTGGTTATAATAGCGGCTGGTTTCTTTTTGTACACCAGTTTTTAGCAAATTCAACATATATTTCTGAGCGCTTAAAAAATGATTTAATACCAGAAATTAATCGAAATTAGGTGTGGAACTAGTTTTCCCCAAATACAAGTGCATACGATTATATATGAAATTTATATTGTATAAACGTACAGTCAGTTTTATACGTGCAATAGAAATTGATAGAATGTGTATGCATAAACCCAGAAATACACACCGTTGCAGTCTTCGTGGGACAGAATTTCAATAACCGTTTTCTGTCTGTCATACATGTGTATATGTCCTTTTTATGTCTGTTAATCTCGGGTACATGTATAACAATGTACATTCAAAATGGCTTATACTCTGAATGTTTAATAGACTTGGTTATAGAAGCATTCATAATGTGGAACAGAATGTCCTGATTCTTTCCAGTAATGACGGATACATAATAATTATGAACTGATTTACGCTCGATCTAACGGACTAATACTTACCAAAGGCAGTCGGTGCGTGGCTTGGATAGTATACATGTACATTAACACGCCCACTCATTTTTGTACCCCCGAAGGGAGGCAAAATATAATCGCACCGTCCGTCTATCCGTCCGTATGGCCGTCTGTGCGTCCTCACTTCATTCGTGTCCGGACTGTAACTTTGTCATATGAGTTGCGTCCAAGAACCACGTCCCTGCCTCAAAAGTCAAGGTCACACTATCATTTTGAAGTTTCACATTATCGCAATTAGAATTAATAGGTACACACAATCGTGTCCGGGCTGTAATTTTGGGGATGCATGGAAGGGTTTTAAAATAAATGACTACATCAAGACAATGTGTCGCGTCTGATAATCACGTCCCTACCTTAAAGGTCAAGGTCGCACTACCATTTTGAATTTCACTTTATCACAATTAGAGTTTATAGGTACACATATTCGTGTCCGGGCTGTAACTTTATCACGCATACAAATCCTGACCCGGATATTCACGCTGTTACCGAGCTTTGCTAAATTTCGACTGTGCGAAACGGGGTACGCATCAGGTAGGCCTATATCCGGGTCAGGATTTGTATACATGTAATGTGGGAAAATTTAAAAAGTTAACTGCAAATAACTACTGCCTACCTACAGACGTCTTGGATTAAATTTAGACCGGTAAGCGATAGTATTATAGCTGCCTTTTCTGTTTCAACTGTTTGCATGCACTGAAATTAGTTTTTTTAATAAGAAAAAGATCGATTAATGTTCAAAATCGTCTTCTTACCGCTCGGTCAAGCGATGTCCAACCTAGACATAAAGTGCATTTTCGCTTTAAAATTCCATCTTTTGTCGTACTAACTGGTCTAATATTGTACATTTTTCGAAAGATAAATCATTTTTGCGTAGATTACACTTTATTTGGTGAAAATTGGTTGGTTTACAATTAACAAAGATCTCGGAGGTAAAATAAAGCCTGGTGGTAGTTCCGCTGGCGAACCTTTCTACCTTTACTATATTTATAAAATATTATGGATGAAATTTTTAAAAACAACTTTCCTTTGTTGTTTTATTGAAAACAATTTATTATAAAAACAAGTGAAAAAATATTTTATTAGTGCAAAAAAAATATTTATAAAAATAAGTAGGCGTGGTCATGTACATGTATACTATCCAAGCCACGCACCGACTGCCTGTGCTAGTTATCGATGGCACCGATACCTCTCAAGCGGGAGAAATCATTGTAAACGGCAACAATGAGCGACCTATTTTAATTAATAGATATACATTACTTATTCAGGAAACAACAATGATATTCGAATAGTAATTTAAATCATTAGAAAACGTCAGTTGTAATGTCACAAGGCATATTAAATATACTGGCAAATGTTCCCTTCCATAGTTATTGTCTTTGTTCAAATCTTAACATACACGCCCTTTAAATACATATTGTATTCATAGTTATTGTTCATAGTTAATTTAATTTGAAATTAACCTGTTGTTTGTTAGTTTGTAAGTAACGACTTTATTTAAGGTGGCTTACACATTTGGTTTTCCAATCTTCCAAGTGGGTCTCAGCTGAAGTACATAATTACAATGAAAAAAAAAGCAGTTTACATATACACCATATATACACAACGTATATACACAGACGTCATGTTGCAATGTTAGCCATGTTTTAAAATGTCTATAATTAAGATCATGTCATTAAAACTAGTGTTTAAGTCCATAGAACTTTTTGCACTATGCTAGATGATTGTATAGCTAGTGTTTGTCGATTTTTTTGTTTGTGAAATATTTTTGTATTCATAATCATAAATGAAAATTGTGTCAAAAAATAATTGTTTTTCTATTTATACAGCACATGTCTTGGAATCAAACAAGTTACATCTGAAAGGTCTTACGCTGAACAGAAACGTCGTCTCGACATCAAAAAAAGAAAAGGAACTTATTACATTAAGATAGAAAATATTTTGATGAATAGAGACAACAATGATCAATTTAGGTATGAAATCACTAGTATGTGCATGCTTCCTAATAGTGAAGTTCTCCTTGCTGATTGTTTGAATAACAGACTGAAGAAATTGAACAGTTCATACAAGGTAGTAAGTCACTGTGATGTACCTGAATATCCCTATTGTGTATGTTATATAGGCAACGATACAGCTGTTGCTAGTTTAAGTGGCAATTCCATACAGTACGTGAATGTGTCAGGTAATATAAAGCTAAGACAATTAATGAAGCTAGATCATGAATGTTACGATCTAGCTTGTCACGGTGACACACTCTATATTAGCAGTAGAGACACAATTTACAAATATGACAAAGACTGTAATCAACAACAAGTTCTCTATCATTATCCGAGGATAATCTACAATCCCTCAATTGCTATAAGTGACAATGGGGAACGACTCTACTTAAGTTCACATAGAGATCTAACTACAATAGATGCCAAAGGAAATCATATATTCAGTTCACAAATTGACGATTATAACATATATGATATATGTATTGCTGGTGAAGGTATTGTTCTTGTATTAGATGTAAAAAACAATTTTCATCAGCTGGATTATAATGGAAAAAGGCATCGGACTGTAGATAGCATGCAATTTTATGTTTTAAATCCGCGTTCTATGTGTTTCGACAGAGAAAGATGTAGACTTATTGTTGGTGGTAGTGAAGACAAGATACATGTTTACAAATGCGAGTTTTTGCCAAGTTAGTTAATAAAATTTTGATAAACAGAGAACCAAATGAAAAATGCATCGCTTATCTACTTTTGTTCATTTAAAGGAACTCCACTGAGGTTTATAAGTCTCAAACATAACAATTTAATTTTTCACATAGATAAACATGAGCAGAAATATTAATTAAATATAACTAAGAAATATACAAGAAATACATTGAAAATCATATGTTTGTGCTATTCTCAGTCCGATTTGATTGAAAAGCGTTTAAACGCTTTTCAATTTTGGGTCATTTTTCACTATTATAATAATCATTCTGGAAAAACGGAGCAAGCTAATGATCTGAAATTTTTCACATAAGTTATTAGTATAGATCTACATCAAATGGAGTAATAATCACAAAAAAAAATTTCCAGTCTCGTCATGTCAAAAAACCTCAGTGGAGTCCCTTTAAATTTATAATTTTGTATGTTTGCTTATTTCTTCATCGTGCCATTGCTTAATAGTTTGATGTAGAACCTAAATATCTTGAATGTATTTGTAAGGACATGTATACTTTATAAAACCTTTGCATAATAAAGGTTGAATAGTTACAAGTTTGAAACATTTTAAAATACAAATCGCGATAATTAAAAAACAAGTCAATCTTGTTGAAGACTAAGGAATAAATTGATATTGAGATTGATTAATCCCGCATATTGTCATTTCTAATTTCTACTAAGGCCTAAAATTAAATTTAATTTGTTTCCCATTACCTACCTACCCAACAAATTTGCCCCTACCAAAAAGATTTTTTCAAGTACTACGGGAATTGAAGTATAGTTTTTTGTTTCAGATTACAATAGGTACAATCTAATCTAATACATTGTAATATTTTAGACGGCTAACATAGGTAATAAACTGTTGCATATGTAAGTACGAAAGTTACCCATTTGGAAACTGCAAAAAAAGGATATGTTATAAACCTTAACATTTTCCGAAGGCAACCGTAACATCAATGGCAACAGCAACGACAATATGGCTGTAACAATAGCGCTTTTTTTCTCTGAAAACGTCTAGCTAAAAATAAGAACTTTATTTTTATTTCATTTAAAAGAAAAATGTTCTTGCCTACTACAATGTCTTTGAACCATGCTTAATGAAGTTTTAAAAAATCATATCTCAGCAACCGTAGACACTCATCCATTTCTTTCTTCAACGCTACTTTCGCACATTCCATACCTGATTACTGCCTGGTGTCAGCTAAGGGAGGAAATCATTTCAGGACCTAGAACACAGTTACCAAAGTTGTATGTCTTGACAAACTTATAAACTGCATGTCCTTCTGTTCATATCAACGTTGTTTATTGTAAGTTAAAGTCACAACGACACAATATATGTCACATGGTTACTTCACAGCTTTACTAGTCGAGAAAGACCGCATGTGCCAATTGGTGTCCTAGGCACGAGTCTCGGGCCTAGGGAGAAAACAATATGAGCAGATTGATAAACAAAATGCCTGTATTCACCTTCAATGTGTTAAAACCCCAAAATAAAATATAATTGTGAAATATGTGCCCCTTAAAAGTTTAAGAGTATATTTTTAAAGAGGTTTTTATTTCATTATTTGTTTATACATTTAAGATGAACATAGGTCTTTTCATCAATCTGGCAATATGTTTTCTATCCAGGTCCAAACCATGACCATTGTTGACCTGCTTATTCCTATGATGTAAATAATAAGTCAAATTTGAGTTGACTGTGTTCAACCGATCGGGATATGATGAACACAGACTGATTTTTTTTAAGTTTAAAAGGGATAACTCATCGAACCATGACCAAATTCAAATTTGGCCTGCGTAATCCTTTGACGTATCCATATGTCAAATTTGATTTGAATGTACACAACTTCTGGGGAGATAATGAACGGAAACTGAACATTTCTTTTTTTTTCTAAGTTAAAGAGATAAATCATCGAACAATGACTATATTCGAATTTGACCTGCGTATTCCTATAAATTATCCATATCATAAACGAGTTGAACATATACATTTGTTTGGGAGATAGTGAACTGAAACTGAAGTTTGCTTCTTTTTTCAAAGTTAAAGGGGCATAACTCTTACAAATTTATTGGAACCATGACCAAATTCAAACTTACCTGCGAAATCTTTTGATGTATCTCTATCTCAAATTTTAGTTGAATGTGTACAACTGTTGGGGGATAATGAACAAAACTATTTCTTTTCGAAGTTCAAGAGGGATAAATCTGTCACAAATCATCAAACCATGACCAAATTCCAACTTGACCTGCGTATACCTATAACATATCCATATCTTAAATTTGAGTTGAAAGTGTACAACTGTTGAAGAGATAATAAACAGAAAATAAAAAAAATATTTTTTAAGTTAAAAGAGCATATATAAGAGGCCAAAAATCACCAAATATAGATTTAACCTGGGCATTCTTACAGGAATCCATAATTATGTAAAACTTGAGTTGAATGTGTACAACTTTTGGGGAAATAATGAAGGGAAATTGAAAATTTCTTCAAGGTGCATGGCTGTCAAAAATCATCGAACCATGACCAAATTCGAACTTGGCCAGCATTCCCCTATAAAATATCAATATGTCAAATTTGTCATGAATGTGTACAATCGTTGCTAAAATAATGAATTGAAAAACAGGTGATGACAGCATAATGGAACAGGGTAACACAAAAGTATATGCCCCAAGCCATAAACTTAAATTGTCCCTTTTATATCAATCACCAATGAAATGCGCACTAAACCTTGAATTGCATTGATTGACCTTGCATAAATTTACCTAAAATACAAATGCTGCCATGGCGTTAGTCATAAGAATGACCATTTGTGTTCCAACTTCTAATCCCTCACTAAATAATGGTTCCTATAAACATCTTCATTATTTTATTATTTTAACCTTTACTCCATGTGTGACCTTGACCTTAGTCGCTGGGACCTGAATTTTGCGCCTTACACTTTACAAATAATGAAAAAAATCTGTACTAAGTTAATTAAAATCCTTTTATGCAATTAGAAATCATTTTGCAGACAAACCTTTTTCAATGACCTCTATATGTGACCTTGACCTTTGACCTATATACCTGATTCATAGGCACGTCATAGTTTTCATGGAAGTAAACATTTCTATGATGTTTCATTACAATCTCCCCAAGCATGTAAAAGATATGATCGGGACAAAATCTGGATAGTTCATCATCTTCAGTGACCTTGTCCTGCATGTATTTACCTTACTTACAAGTGTCAAATATGCTGTCATAATAATGAACATTTGTGTTATAATCCCTCGGTAAATAATGGAATAAATGGTCCCTTTACACTTTGTCATATTTCTATTTGAACTTCGACCCGTATATTTGATCTTGACCTTATCCTCTGAGACCTGGGTTGTGCACCCAATATTTCACTGCACAAGAGTGAACATTTGTGCAAAGCAATATTGAAATCCATTTATGCATGTAGCAGTTTTGCTCTGAACAAGCATCTTTCAAAGGCTATTTGTGACCTTGACCTTTGATCTAGATACTTTGTCTATGCCAGCGACACAGCTTCTCATAGTGGTGAACATTCCTTTGTAGTTTCAACAAAATCTCTCCATGCATGTAGGAGATGTGCTCAGGACAAAAAGTGATCACCTCCCTCCGCTTCCTTTAATATGACCAGTTTTATAAAATTTCTAGCCAAATAAAGCAAAAGTTAAGCAAAAATAATAAATTTGAAATTGAAGGTCAAGATCATAAATGAGTGATGGTTAACTCAAATATTGTCCAAAGGATTGAATTCTACAAGTACGAAGACAATCCATTCAGAAATAAAAATGTAATGGCCAATGTTTTTGGACGGAAACAGTAACGGACCACGACTGTAGCAATACCTCGAAATTTTCTTTAAAAATATTATAGTCAAACTAAAAGCCTTAAAGCCACTCTCGCACACAAAACAGGTCTAATAACATCGATATAGTTATTTTATATGCATAGAAGAAACAATAGGGCCATAATGGCCCTAAAAATCACCTGTATATAGGCCCCTGGGCCAAGGCCAATTTTAAACCAGGGGCTTTTATTTGAACAAACTTGGTAGACACACATTAGAATTCTTACATGAAAAATATCTAATATCTAGCTATTTTTGGTTTTAATAAGAAGATTTTTTTAAGTTTTAAATATATACATATCGGGAAAGACAATGACCCCTTCTGGGAAAGGCTAATTTGACCCAAAGAACTTTATTTCAACAAACTTGGTAGAAAATGACTAGAACATACTTTATGCTTAGTATCTAAACTCTAGCTCTTTTGAGTTTTTTATAAGAATTTCTTTAAGTTTTTACTATAAACATATAAGGAAAATCAATGACACCTTGGGCGGGGCCAATTTGAACCTAAAGGCCTTATTTGAACAAACTTGGTAGACACCCATTAGAAGATGTTTCGTGATAAATATTGTAATGGAAAACTTCCCTTTCTAATGTCATGTCAATTTACCTTAATGCCTTCAATAGAAAATCAACATTTGCATAATTGTATAAGTCATTAACTGCCTTACTTAAAACTTTTTAACAATTATCAAAAAGTGCTACCTTTTTAAAAGATTAACTATATTCCACGAAACACAACGTAACACCTGAATATCAGCATTGTTGACAGTTCGTATCACATTAGGATAGATAACTCTCGCTACAAAATGGTCAGATGACCGTTATTTATCTATGAATATCTAATGATTTGGAATATTTACAGTTACTAATATATATATCAAAGTGAATATCTACAGACATTATTGGACGATTCAGGCGTCGCTTTCTACTGTCAATTTCCATGGTTAAAAATGGCGGACACAGAACTTTAGAACTACTGTTCCATATTTCAGTCTGGCTTTTTATGAATGTGTTTTTGTTTACATTTAAACTTTTAGGAGTTCTTATTTAGTTATAATTAATAGTAAGTCTGATTTGAGCCAGTTGATTTTCTGTCATTATTATATTTTAATACGTGAGTACTGTATTTTATCGGCGTAATGGAAAACGTCTGCCTATATTACTACGCCTTTGGACCGGCTTTATGTAAATATGTATTTTTAAAATGTTATTTCAGATAT